ACAATTAGGTAGTTATATTCTTAGAATGATAAGGATTTAGTATTTAAGTAGCATAGCTCTCACTATAGTAACTCCAGCTTCAAGCTAAAGTTTATTCTTCACTATCTTATCTCAAGCAACTTGCAAACACCTTGATCACACAGTACCAACAACACATCAGTGGACTTGATCATTTTACCTGAAGTGCAAGGTAGCAGTCATTTATCACATGTTATTGGTCATGTGGAATTTGGGCTTAACAACAATGAGATCTCAGAATTCAGGGAACAAGTTGAGAAGGATAGTAATGAAGGTCTCTTCTTTTATAGCTGTCTCTATATCATCAGCTTCTTTCAGTAAGCACCTCATCTTCTCAATATAGCTTCCATCATCTGACATCTTGTCTCCTTCCTCATAGATGTTCACTCACAAGATTTTCTCCTGATAGTTCTGTACTAGATCAAAGTGCACACTATATTGGATCTTCAACCTTGTTCAAGCTGCATGTAAGATGCCTTATATATTGAGTCTGAAACCAAAGATGTCTGTTACATTGCAGATGATGGAAGAGAGAGCAGAGCTCTCTCTTTGTGCATATTCATATTCATTGAGAGTGAGGCTGCTCAGACCAGTGGTCTGAGTTAGTGTTGGGATAGCAATCCTGAGCAAGTATGAGAATGTACTCAAAGATGCTATATCAATCAGTGGCAGCTGACTTAGACTGTGATCTGGACTTATATAGTATTTCATAGAAAGATTTTGAAGTAATGCAAAATGTATTTAAGTAGGACATCTCTCTCTCAAGAGGCTAATCTAAGCCTCTGTACTCTATACTTACAACAGATTATAGACCTCAGTCATAACTAAACTTATATCACTACTCACTTCACACTCTTTTATACTTTATATATATATAGAATCACATGGATAGCCAGTCTGTATATAGAATTGACCTTCTTAAGGGCTCAGAAAATTACCTGATATGGAAAATCAAGATGATCAATATTCTAACTGATTTAGGACTAATTGATTATACAGATGAAAGCACTCTGGCCCTGGCAGATGCAGCACTGATGGCAGATTAGAAGAAGAGCAATAGAAAGGCTCTTTCAACAATAATATTACAGGTTTCAGATGGTCTGCTGGTATATATTACTGGTTTGAAGACTTTGGCAGAAGCCTTGAAAGCTCTAAAAGATATGTATGAGTCCAAAGGACCCATGAGAATTGTCCTTGTCAGAAAGAAATTCTTCAGAGCTCAGTGTGAAAAAGGAGGAAACATAGAGAAGCACATTAAGATTATGAGATCCTATCAGAAGGAGAAGGACTTCTCTATTACACTGCTTATATCACTCCTATAATCATGGAATTCATTCATCACATCAGTGGATACTGCTGACTTGAAAGATTCTTACAAGTTGATTTCTTAAATTCTTCAGAAAGATATCTAATTAAGGAAAAAGACTTCTGATCAGACTATGACACTTGCAGCACATGGTAAAAAATCCAACCCAAAAGTCACATGTTATGAATGTGAAAAAACTGGTCACATCAGATCAAATTGCCCAATGATATGCAAGCTACATGTCTAGCTCTATAATTTTCAAATTCTGCATAACACACTAGAATATGCTAGTAACTGAGGACCATTAGCTAGTAGAGGACTATGGCTGAGGCTCTAAGCTGATAGTCATGCTAGTCACTAATACTAAGTCCAAAAGGGACTTTATAAAAATAACACAGCCTAAGGATAAAAATTCTCAACTCTAAGCTGGACCATTAGTTCCACTGCCTAGTGCTGTACAAGATCCAGTGGCTAGGCTATAAAGATACCAACAAAGAATTTGCTTAGTTATCAGCCTCTAAGTTTTCTGCTGATGAATTCATTGAAGAATTTCACTATTAATATCCAGACAAACTAGAAGCTTTGTTCAAGATCACCTCTTGAACACTCTCTTTTCAAATTTCCAGTCCACTTGATATTCATCCCCTTGGCCCCACTGGTTTCTATTACCAACCCTTTATCACTTCCATTCAAACCTGAAAACAGAAAAATAATTACATTTTGTTTGGTCCCACTAGACTCTAGCTATTCACTACAAATACAAAAATACAACAAATACAACAAATCATTCAAGAGAAAGATCTAACATCCAAAGAACTTGCTCCATCCTCATCTCCATCAGAGTCCATCTCCTTTCCCATCTCTTTCAACTCTATCATATTCTTATCCAGATGCCTCTCTATTGTCTTTCTCAACTCCTTCATCTTTGACTCTCCTATATGCTGAAACTCTATGTGAGCTGCCATCCAAGACTCCAAGTCAGATGACATGAGCTCCACTGGAGACCCTATATCTGACATATAATCATCCAGTAAACCCTTCACAGTCCTATAGATATCTGCCACCTTCTCTACTAACTCATTTATCCAACCCACTACCTTCTTTGCAAGTTCATCCACTCAGCTCTACAACTTCTTCACATTGCCATTGATTTTCCAGAGAGCAGTGGTGATCTCCACATTCCTCACAATTCTGCCAACACTGCTTCTCTGGTTAAATGAGCATGCTGTCTTCTTAACCTTACAGCATGCACAAGTTTAACTGCATCCAGCAGTAGTTCAGGTATAGCAGAGAGTATCATTTTGCCTATATCTGATACAATACTCTGAAAAGATAATTAGCAATCTGATCCCTGAAAAAACATACCACTTATGCTCTCCAACTACTTCTCCCTCACTCTCTATCAGAGCTATGATATCTAACCTCACTCTCTTCCTGAGACTAGTACCAGCCCCACTCTCACTACTGCTGTCAGCCACAAAACTAACTGACTTGACCTTTTATTTTCTACCCTCCTTAATAGACCTAGTGACTCTCTGTTTACCTTGTCAAATATCCATCCTCAGCTGCTTCAGACAGGCCTGTGATGCATTCAACAGTTCACTTTCTTCACCCTTGGACTCTGTCTCAATCCAAAGAGCCTTCACCAAATGTACCTCAGGTCCTGCTGGACTCAACTCCATCTTGGCCAGTATCTTTCTGCAAAGGTAATTCATATTCTCTATCAGAGTCTGCACAGACTTACCTCCTCCTGCTGTCTCACTCTCCAATTGTGCCTGCTCCTCAGCCTCCACAGCCTCTTGTGCCCTTTTCTTTTTCTTGGCCTCCACCAACCTCTGTGCATTCTCCTCTGCCCTCAACCTTTCCTGCTCTCTCTGCTTTTCTGTGGCCCTCCTCAAGACCTCCATCTTTTTCATATAGACTGTGCACTCCACCTTCATTCTCTCTTCCTGCTCCCTCTTTATTTTCTCTGCCTTTCATGACTCATGTCTCTCCACTGCCTTAGCATGATTCTCTTCCACTGCAAGCTGATCTAACCAGAACTCCTTCCTTTTTCTTTCAGAACAAACTAGCATCAGAATTCACATGAAGGGCTCAGGGATTACTAATAAACAACATGCTATGACAGTCAACATTTTGACAAGATAAGAAAAAGATAACCAAGCAAGAGATAGTGGTGCTAGCAGATCAAGTTGCAGAATTTCCATAGCCACTAACAATTCTCCATGTGGTCTCACCAGGCATTGGAATCTGCACTCTTGAGAGCAAGAATGCTAATAGAGGGATACTGTCATGCACATGCTGCCAGTCTCCATGCCACTTTAACCAATCATGAATTTAATCACCATGTCCCATCAGACTCCATCTGCTTTTCATTAACAATCAATTTTATTTTATCATTATCATTTCATATCCATATTTCACATTGTAGTATCTAGACTCTGAAAATGGTAGTGAACAATTCACACTGGAACTCAATAGACTCAACTCAGAATTAACTATTAATAGTATATAAACTATATACAATTGTTGTAATTACTTAGTTCAAATATTGACTTGAATAGCCATCTACACTTTGTGCTCACTTCAGCTCCTCTCTATCTCATCTATCAGATTCTATTTCAAAGGATATTCCTCTTCACTGCTCTGATAGAATTCTATTCTGTCCATCCAAATCCTTAGACCCTAACTCAAGGGTGATGTTGCCAATAGCTTTATTGATGCCCACATACTCCAGCAGTCTCTATGCATATATTTAAGCCTAATCAATTGGCATGTTCTTAACATTCAGTGTCAACTATTCACTACTATGTTTGGGGTCTAGATACTAGAGTATGAAAATACAAATGTGAAATAGTAATAATAAAATAAAATTAGTGGATAATAGAAAACTGTTATGATTTTCTCTATTTTCTTTTCTTTTTCCTTGGAAATGACCCCTATCTCTGCTTAGTCAGAGCACTTAGACCAGTGCTTAGGACCATGGGAATGCTTAGCTCAGCAACCCAGTCAGTCATTGTCTTATTGTATGGCTGTGTGCTGTGAAGGGAGAGACAATACTCCTTTTGTCACTAAACAGCAGTAACAGCAACAACAACAGCCTGCCAGACAACAGCCTTTGTGGAGAGCCTGGCAACAGCAGAGGTAACAGCTCTACAACAGACAATATCTTTTGTAAACATTTATTTATAGCACGATAACAGAACAGTATTTAAGTAACATAGCTCTTGCTGTAATACCCCAGCTTTGAGCTAAAGTTTATTCTTCACCATCCTATCTTGAGTGACTTGCAATGCCTTGACCACACACTTCTATTAACACACCAGTGAACTCAGTCAGTCTAACCCAAAGTGCAAGGTTCTGAACTGTTTATCACATGTTGATAGTCATGTGGAGTTTGGGCTTAACAATTAGCTTGAAGCTTCTTGCTTCCCTTTCTCAGGCCCAACCGTACTAAGAAACTGAATGCCCCCTGCCTTAAATCCATCTGACCTGAACTTTACTCATAAGTTCTTCAAACTCTTGGCTTCTATCATTGGAACCTTGATCAGTTTATTGGTGATCATACAGCTGTGCTGTAGATGCCAATCCATTACCACCTGGGCCATTCGACACTACCAAGAATTCCAGCATATCTGTACAATCCTCTGAAATGTCACATCAGACCTCTCCCTCCATGACATCCCTGCCTCTGTCTGAAACTCTGTCCGACACCCTGAAGAAACAGAAGACAAGCCTAGGGGCTCAACTGAAGGATGTTCTAAAGAAGAGGAGCAGCAGCAGCAGTGACACAAATACCCCCCAAGACCCCTGTTGGCAATTGTCTGAGACCCTGGAAACTCTTGGGCTACAGGGTTTTGACAACTCTGACCTGATACCCCTGACCTCTCTCCTGAGCGCAGCATCACTGCATCAAGAACTACCATCATCCAGTCTGGAATTGGGCACTGGGCTAGAGACTCTCTGGATGCCATTCAGATGGCTTCAAGGACTAGAAGTACTGACAGGCATCAACCCTGATATACCTCATCAACAAGAAGCAGTGGAAGGAGAACAAGGGTCAGTAGTCCCGACCCCTTCTTTGATGACACCAACAGGGACGAGGTCCAATACTGGCAAGCAGTGACAAGAGTGGCCAGCAGACTGAAACAGAGAGGAGCCACATGCCTACCAAGGCATAGTCCAGTGGTACCAAACCCAATATGGCTGACCCCCCAGTCCCTTGCCAAGTTCCTCAATGCTCCCGACTCTCCATTCCAGAAACCAGCCACTCCCGACAGTGAGCCTGACTCTTAGACCGGGACCACTGCCAGAACTGTCCATGCTGATGACTACTACCACCAGCAGCCAACACTCCTCGACGACAACCACTCGTTATCATATGGGACTGACACCATCGCTGAAACTGATGATATCCTCATCCAGAGAGATAGGATACCATCAGACCGGGAAACAATCAGAGACAACAATGAGCATATTGACCCCATTGGGAATCTCAAAAGAGTTCTCGACAGGCCAATCACCACCCTCTTCCTTTGCTCCTGGTTCTATAGAAACTTCTGCTGGTATCACAGAGCAGTGGCGCTGCCAGCAGAAGGAGAAGAGGAGCAGCCTGACCAGGAGCCTTCTCCTCAACCCAGACCCAATGACACCAAGTCAAGTACTCAGCCTCAACCCACTCACCTTGGAAACCTTCAGCCAGTAAGGCAGTTCCCTCCTTGAGGGGACCACTGACAAGGGGGCCAAAGAGGACAATGAGGCTGAGGAGGAGGACCAAGGCAGCTGGATGGTGGACCCCATCCTTGAGTGGGAAAGTATTGTCAACATAACCACACACCAAGAACAGGAGAAGAAACGACAGGAATGAGAGGCATGGGAAGAAGACTTTATTCGGTTATACTAAGAGCAGGTAGCCAAATTATAGAGGGACGATCATTGGCGACGATTGTTGGCTATGATCGTCCCTAGGACGAAGGTATACCACTACCAACCACGTCAAGCAGGAGGAGATTTTACAGTATGCTGCGACTGAGCATGCCATTTTTAATTTTAATCAGCGCTATTTACATTATCAGATGATGGTGATGCCACCATATCGACCAAGGTTCAGCAAATAAGAGGCACCGATGCCATAGACCCCAAGTGTGATGCCATCTAAGATGGCGAACACAGCATCATCAATCCAAACAGTGACATCAAGATACTTGCTCACCACATCGGCCATCCACAGCATGGCATCTCAGCTAACCCAATCCTATGGACAGCTGAGAACATACCACCCAAATTCCTGGACCGGCACAGAGAGCCAACTATTGGGAGAGCAGCCACCACCTGATGAAGCAACCAGATCGGTTCCTGCCAATGAGAAGAAGAATGACTCCAAAGCAATGGCATAGGGGTGGACCATCAAGGATGGGTAGATTGTCCAAAAAGAGGGGCCTCCAACTTCATGAAGTCCCGTTGCTGATGATGGGTCACTACATTCCTTTCTGGGACCCCTGATGAATTGGGCTAGTCCCTCTAGGGGGAAAACCCCCAAATCTGATATCGCCTCTTGATCCGAAGGCACATATATTGAACATCAGACTGATGTTAGGGCAGGAGCCCCTTCCTTTTAAAGGGGCTTCAGACAATATTGACCATTTCCTTATGGACTGTGACCAATATTTTCAGGTCTTTGCCTTGTACTTCCTCCATGACATATACAAGATAAACTATGTCACCACCTACTTCGAAGACAAAGCAAAAGTATGGTGGGTACTATTAGCCCCTAACTTCTAGTCAACTACCCAGCAACACCACTGGTATCCCTCTTGGGTGGTACTAAAGCAGATGATCCATGACAAGTTCATGGACTCTGCAGTACAAGAAGTCCACAGGTCAAAGATGAAGGAGTACAAGATAGGCAACAAGGTGGCACTGGACTACTTCAATGAATTGAAACGGCTCGAAAAACTCACTGGAGTCAGGGAGGACATAGCTGACTCAGGACGAATGGTTGAGTATATGAAGTGGGGATTGCCACCTCATTATCTCAAGACTATTTCAGATCTCAGCCATAGTGTTCCAGTTGGCTACAATGACTGGAAGGCACAAATCATCCTGATATGGCAGGAATAACAGCGACAGAAGGTGGAAGCAGCAAACCTGTAGAACCAGCACAGGTATCAGGGACAAAGCTCGAAGCCCTCAATCTCTCATGCGACCACATCTGTCAGACCCAGCAGCTTAGCCTCAACTTTCCAGAATGATGGGAAGTGAACTGGTAAGAGTCCAAATACCACAACGGGCAAGCAGATCGACATGGATCACCTCAAAAAGGAGAGGAAATGCTTTAATTGTGGCCAACTGGGCCATATGGCATGAAATTGCCTGGAGAAGAAGAACAAGTGCACATGAGAAGATATCTGAATGCAGATTGCTAAACTGATAAAGGAAGATGAAGACCTCAGGCAAGACGACAAGCCCGAGGAGGGAAAAGACAAGGCCGAGCAGTGAGCAATTCCACTCACTCAGCCAAGGAAACAGATAACAGGTCACAAACTGCTGGACAGACTGACATTTTACCTTCTGTAGTACCACCTCCTATGTCTAAATTATGCATGCATTCGAATATACCTGACCCTATTATCCACCAATCAGAATTGCCCAAGGAACCAACTTCAACAACTCAAGTGCTGACAAAGGGCCAAAGAGAGGCAGAGAGCCCCAAAGATGCATCTTCATCAAAAGTTTGTCAAACTAAAAATATAAAACAGACTCAACTGCCTTTGGGCTGAACAGGGGCAGAGGGGCCCACAACATGGCTCAAACCATTCGATACCGAATGGATTTGGCAAGCCATTAAAGATGCCAAGGACGAAGTAGTGGTGAAAGCCATATTCAAGAACTGGGTCCACAAGATCTGAGTCGAAGAAGTGATTGATGACATGATTGCAGGGATGCAGTCTACAGAATGATGTCGAGCCCTGGAATGGCTTGATGAATTACATGGACCATAAAAATTCATCCGATGAGCCAAATCCCCTGGGAAGGATTTACTAGCCAAAGCACAGATCAAGACATTAACATCTTGATCAATCCATGCAGTCATGGCTTTAATTGACAGCGGCTGCACAGGAAGTAGCATTAACCAAGCTTTTGTCAACAAGCATCAGCTGCCCACTCAGGCAACAGCAGCATCTATCCCAGTCTACAATGCAGATGGGACAAAAAACCAAGCCAGATTGATTACCAAATATGTAGAGCTTAGGCTCACCATCAGTGATCATTCGGAATGAATTGACTTAGCAGTAATCAATCTAGAAACAAAGGAGATATTCCTCAGCTATGATTGGCTGATCAGACACAATCTGCTGATCAATTGGAAGACCAGATGAATCATCTTCACTTGATGTTAATGCCGGAAGATTCCATTCAAACTACCAGATGAAGATCCTGAGAACCAATGGGATGAGGAGATGGAAGATGGCGAAACCATTCTCACTGTTGACCTACAAAAGGCTATTAGCATTCAGGCAGTACATCATGCTAATGACCTGGTGGCAAAAGCCAATGCTGAAAAAGAGGAAAGGATGTTCGAAGAAATGATACCCAAATAGGCATACAATTATTGGGATTTATTTGACAAAGACAGTTTCGATGAACTACCCGATGCGAAACCCTGGGACTATGCCATCAAACTAACCCCTAATGCAAATGCCAACCTCGATTGCAAGTGTTATCCACTAGGCAATAACAAACAACAAGAGCTAGATAAGTTTCTCGAAGAAAACTTATCTAGCAGAAGGATCCAGCCATCAAAGTCACCGATGGCATCACCCTTCTTTTTCATCAAAAAGAAAGATGGAAAACTCTGACCAGTGCAAGATTATCGAAAACTTAATGAGATAACAATCAAAAATCGTTATCCTCTTCCATTAATCTCAGAGTTAATGGACAAACTCTGGGGCACGAAATATTATACCAAACTGGATGTCCAGTGGGGATACAATAATGTGCGAATCAAAGAAGGCGATGAGTGGAAGGCTGCTTTTTGAACTAACCATAGTTTGTTCGAACTGACTGTCATGTTCTTCAGACTGACTAACTCACTGGCCACCTTCCAGTGGATGATGAATGACATCTTTAAAGATCTCATTGCCATGGGAAAGGTAACGATCTACTTGGACAACATACTTATCATGTCCAAAACCAAGGAGGAACACTGATAGATAGTATGCCAAGTATTATTCTTAATGAGGAAGCACTGACTCTTCCTCAAGGCTGAAAAATGTGAATTCAAGGTATTAGAAACTGAATACCTCAGAGTCATTATCAGCAAAGGAAGCATCAGAATGGACCCTGTCAAAGTGGTGGGGGTAACTGAATAGCCAGAACCGACCAAGAAGAAGAAGCTACAATCATTCCTCAGGTTCACCAACTTCTACCAATGGTTCATCCAGGATTACAGCAAAGTGGTGTGACCTATGATGCAATTAACTGGAAATTCCCCATGGAGCTGAGGAATTTCCCAATGGGTAGCGTTTAATGACTTTAAACACTGACTAGCCAAGGATGTCATTCTGGTCATACCAAGCCAGGATGGGAAGTTCCAGGTGGAAGCAGACTCTAGTGAAGGTGCAATCAGAGCTGTCCTCTCACAGGAACAAGATAACAAATAGTGACCAGTTGCCTTTATGTCAAAGGTGCTCACAGTGACTGAGCGCAACTATGAAATCTATGACAAAGAACTCCTCGCCATAATACTTGCCCTTGCTGAATGGTGGCATTATCTCATTGGAGCCCATCACACCTTCGAAATCTGGACTGATCATCAGAATCTTCGATATTTCTGACAGCCCCAAAAGCTTAATCACAGACAAGCCAGATAGGTCACAGAACTATCAGAATATGAGTATACACTCCACCACAAAGCCAGAGTAGCAAACAAGAAGGCCAACTTCCTCAGCTGCAGGGCAGATCATAACCAAGGAGGAGATGACAACAAGGAGGTCATATTATTATGGCCAGAGCACTTCTGGGCAATGATCATGCCAATGGAAGATGAAATGCATGAATGCATCAAGAGTGCCACTCGAGATCCCCACAAATAGGATCAAAGAATCACCCCATCACTCAATCATGAGCACAGATTAAAGAAAGAAAGGGAATTGATCTATTATGATGAACAGATCTACATCCCAAGGGATCAAAGACTGCAAGGTGACATCATCACCACATGTCATGATCACGCAACAGCTGGACACCCTGGTGATGTGCTTGGTAACTTCTAAGTGACTAAGAGAAGTGAATGA